AATTCAGATGAATTATATCCGTCATCCTGCAGTAATGAAAATCCTCATGCTTGTCAATATCAGCGTGGCTTATTAGATCATCAAATATCGTCTAAAACAGGTTATGAATATGTGTTACAAGATATATGTGATGGTATCATTTCACATGTTTATAATTATGAAACAGATGAAACTAATTGTGAACATTGGCCATGTTATTTATTCTCAACTGTATGTGACGGAAGAAAGAATTGTTTAGATGGAAAAGATGAAAAAGGTTGTATTTTTACTATAGAACAACAATCAATGGGAAAGTATCATGATGATAATGATGATGATTCTTTGTTAATATGGTATTGTAATAGAGGTGTCATGGCAAGAACAAAACCAGATAACAAGCCCGTCTGTTTCTGTCCACCGTATTATTATGGTGATCGTTGTCAATATCAAAGTAATCGTTTAACAGTTATTCTATTACTATCAATGTCAAATCCATATAGAAATAAATTTATTTTTAAAACAATTTTATATTTATTAAACGATAAACAACGAATTGTTTATTATGATGAAATTATGGATAAACCATATTTAATAATTAAACATCTTGTATATTTAATTTATTCATCTTTATCAACTAATAATTACTCTGTTCATATTGAAACATATATAATCACAACAGATAATTTGAAATTGATAGCATCATGGTTATATAATATACAATTTTCATTTTTATTACCAGTTAATCGTTTAGTAGTTAAACTGCATTTAGAAGAACAACAGCAAGAACAAGAAGTAAAAAATGTCGATACATGTGGTCAACATGGTAAAGCAATAAAATATTTGAATATTAACGAGTACTATTGTCAGTGTGAGGTAGGATGGAGTGGAGAAAAATGTATTGAAACTGATAGAATATGTAAAAATGATAGCTGTTCATCAAATGGTAGATGTATTGTTGTTGAAGAGGATTCAAAATGTCTTTGTCCATTAACAAAATATGGTCCAACATGTCGTGTTAGAATTCCACCATGTCGGTGGGATAATAGATGTCAACATCACAGTACATGTGTTTCTTTTAATGGAAAAGGTGATTCTAATTTTAATTATCAATCGGATCATATTTGTATGTGTTTAAATAACACATTTGATATTGGATGTTCGTATTTTATTGAAAACATATATTTAACATTGCCACCGTCTAATAATACTCTACCATTTGTTATGATTCATTTTGCAAATGTAGTTTTTAAATATCCTAGTTCAATTAAATTTAGTAGTCAAATATTATTTAAAAATATTAATAAAAATTTAACAATCATACAAGATTCATTCACATTAAGTAATATAAATTATATGTTTATACAAGTTTATTCCACTATAATGTATAATGATCATTATACATTGTATTTTTATCACCTACTGAATTGCTATAAAAATGACGGATCCATTTCAGAGCATTGTATTAATATAAACAAGTTAACAATATGTTTAAATATAAAACAAATATTTAATCAATCAGTTTTGTCATTACATGCATTACAACGCCTAAAATATTATAATGAACCATGTCTTCGTCAAAATAATTCAGTTATTCATTGCTTCTATGATGATATTTATATATGTTTATGTGATCATCAGTTATTATTTACACAATGTTATTTTTTTAATCATCGTGAAAGACAATGTGACAGAAATAATCAAAAATGTTTCAATGATGGTTATTGTATACAAGATAAGTTATCTAATCATTTTGCTTGTCTTTGTCAGCGGTGTACATATGGATCATCGTGTCAGTTTCGGACAGATCAATATACAGTAACATTAGATGCATTAATTGATACAGAAGTTACACAGTCATTGGTAATTAAACCAACATTTGCTGCTGTAATTACAATGTTTGCTGTTGGTACAATATTTAACGTCTTATCAATAATGACATTTCATCAGAAGAACGCACGTGAAGTTGGTTGTGGACTGTATCTATTTTACTTATCAATCACTGGTCAGTTAGCTTTAATTATGTTTGTACTTAGATATTTCATGACAACAGAAGTGATTATTAACGAACCTTTTACGTATATTTTATTAGAGCTCTCTTTAACTGTATTACCATCTGTTTATGACTGGCTAACAGCATGTATTGCAATCGAACGCACAGTTAACGTAATTAAAGGTGTTCATTTTGATAAAAAATTGAGCATTAAATATGCAAAACTTATTATTATTGTTGTATACCTTGCTGTTATACTTAGCTCATTACATGAACCATTTCATCAACAATTAGTTGATGATCCAAATATTGTTAATCGTAAATGGTTTGTTCTAGAATTTAATAGTACCATGTTGGAAAAATATGATTTGTACATTAATATCATTCATTTAGTTGTTCCATTTTTAATTAATTGCGTATCAACTCTCATCTTTATTTCAAGTACTATACGACGAAAATCAATGTCAGCAGCACCAACAACACCTACTAGTGATATATTGAAAAAACAATTACTGTTGTATAAACAGTTTATAGTTAGTCCATTGATTCTTATTTCTTTAGAATTACCACGTTTGACATTTTCATTTTCTTGTATACAATATAAATGGCAAACATATTTATATTTAACTGGATATTTTATTTCATTTGTGCCATTAATCATACCATTTTTTACATTTATTTTACCATCGCCACTATATAAAACAGAATTTATTTCAATTATAAAATGTTATTCCCGATGTTTTCGTTGAAACGGAAGATAAAGGATGTTTCATAAGTTCTGTGTTTCTCCGTATTTTGACTATAATTTTTTTTCTTTTTAACGCTCAGATATAGGTTTTTTTTTAAAAAAAGATGCGCCGTCAAATTCTCTACAAAATGTGTGCTAAGTGTTTTATTCCAAAACACAAAAGTGAAAAAATACTATGAAACTTCAAAACCGTCAACATTTCAACTAAGAAACCGTTTTTTTGGGTTTTATTCTTTGACTTTTTAAGACATGACAACATTAAGCTCATCATTTTGTAGCGCTTGACAAACTATGTCGTCTAGCTATAATTACACTTCTTCTATAACACAACTAGTTATATGAGAATTCTTTTGCTTTTAGTCATTTTGCCTGACTGGAATCCTGTTCTAGAATAAAACACTTAGTACATATTTTGTAGAGCATTCGACGGGGCATCTTTTGGAAAAAAACCTATTTATGAGCGTTGAAAAGGAAAAAAGTTAGTCAAAATACGGAGAGGCTCAGAACTTATGAAACACTCTTTATGTAGGAAGTGAAAAGTTTGCTCAGATGGGAAAATATTTGATAACAATATGCTTTTTTTGTTGTTGAAATTTTTAACTTAGAAATATAAAAAGCGAGTATGCAAAATATGAGTCTGAACTGATTAGAAAGAAGCTTATATCTGTTCAATAAACTGCTAGGATAATTAATTGAAGTTTCAACTATGCGCAGGTAGATCAAAATATAATTAATTTAGCAGCTGTTTTGACTTTTAATATGACTTTCATCGATGTATTCAGTTGGTTTTTATTCAGAGATTTTTTCGGTCTTCATTAGGATCAATCATTATTAAAGCCTATCGTCATTTGTACAACAACAGGTTATATTTTATCCGCCTTTGGTCTATTTTTATCTGATTATTCGAACAATGACGCATCAGTCGCAAAAACAATACTCGCTCAGAATCAAGAAAATATACCAACTCCTGATTGCAATCATCACTACTTTTTAAAATCAGTTTATCGTCGCTGTAAGAGGATAAAAGGTGATAGTTGCAAGAACGTTTTAAGTGATTTCAGATTTTTCGAATTTTTCTTATATTTAAGTTTTATTAGAGAAAGCGTATCCGACCTGGATTTTGTACTGCAGACTTTGCTCCTTTAAAGAAAAAAAATTTAGTTTTCAGTAACTTACATTGGAAACATGCAAAAAATATGCTTAATACTTTCCTCTCGTCACTTTTCACCATATGTTATTTTATCTGTATAAATTACTTTTATTCTTCTCATAGAGTAATTGCACTGTTTATATGGGAGAACATTTTCTCTAAAAGTTACGGTTATCTGATAACTTCAATTTTTGAAATACTGTGCAGAAAATCATGACTTTTACGTTTTGTGACGATAGAAAAAAATCTGCTTTTCGATATTTAATCCCGTATAAATCTAGAGCCTAATCAGATAATTTGGCAATTTATCTGTGTGTAGCACAAGTGATAAAATTTCAAGCGCAAAAGTGATAGATATTTCAAATATTTTTCGATATATACGTGTTAAATAAGACATTTCATATAAAAGATATCGTTATGAATGTGCATGCTGTAAAACAACACATACATTACCACTGACATGACAGAAAGAGAACACGTGGAAGTATTACAAACAGAAAAAAAAGTAAAGAATATAATAATGAAATCGAACTGACGAGGAAAGGAATGACTTGAATATATTTAAACGAGAAGTTGCTGCTGCTGCAGAGAGATAGCTTTCCCAGTTGGATTAGGGTATGCTACAATTCTCTTTTTCTCTAACAA